AGGAGGGTTGTCATTCACATCAGTGATGCTGACTGGTATAATTTTCTTACTGGACAGAGGAGGAGAGCCTGAGTCAGTGGCTGTTATTTCAATATTATATTCAGAGAAACTCTCTCTGTCTAGACTTCCCCGTGTCACCAGCGCATAATTATTCGAAAATGAAGGCTTCAAAGTTAGAGGACAATCTTTTGGAAGTTGCAATGTCACTTTGCCATTATCACCAGAGTCAAGGTCCCGAGTAGTGAGCAGAGCAACCACAGTACCACTCGGTGAGTCCTCGGGCACTTGGCTCGGTTTTGAAGTAAGAACAATTTCTGGAGCATTATCATTCATATCTACCACCTCCACTTGAACACGACAATGACCTTCCATTTCAGGAACGCCTTTATCTTTTGCGTTAATGTCAATCTCGTGTATTGCAATGTTTTCATAATCTAACTGTCCAATAAGAAATATTTCTCCTGTTTCAGAGTTTATCTGAAAAATAGACAATAATGTCTCTGGTGTATGGTCAGCAAATGAATATTCAATCTCTCCATTAATACCCTCATCTGCATCTGTTGCTTCCACCTTTAAAATCATTAAGCCACTTTGACTATTTTCAGGAAGACTTATTTTATACAATGCCTTTTTGAAAACAGGGACATTGTCATTGTTGTCTAATACGGTCACTATAATCTTTGATGTTCCACTTTTGACAGGACTGCCCCCATCTAACGCTGTCAGCAGTAAATTATGGATGTTTTGTTTTTCTCTATCTAACGGTTTTTCCAACACAAGCTCCGGCACTTTTCGTCCATTAGCCAAGTCTTTAATTTTCAAACTAAAACAATCATCTTTGCTGAGACTGTACGATTTCAGAGAATTACTACCCACGTCGAGGTCTTGTGCAGTCTCCAAAGGGTAGCGCGCACCCACCGCCGTCAGCTCTGCAATTTTTAATAATTTTTCTTTGCTGAGAAAACTCGGGGAATTGTCGTTGACATCTTTTATTTCTACCTCGATTCGATAAAGATGTAACGGGTTCTCTATTACAACCTGCAGAGGTAGAACACAGTTGGTGCTTTGTGCACATAAAGCCTCTCTGTCTATTCTGTCATTCACGACCAGCTCGCCCTTCCCCGCATCCACACTGAAATACTGCTTACCAGCCTCAGAGGCGACTCGCAGCTTACGATCAAAAATGTCTGATAATCCCAAACCAAGATCTTTGGCTAGATTTCCTACCACAGAGCCCTGTTTTAGTTCCTCCGGGATGCTGTAACGAGTCTGTGCGTCTGTTATACTCCACAAGAGAAAGAAATGATGCCACCAAAGCGCCAGCCATCTCCAGTCTCGGTATCCCATTGTCTTTGTCATCCTCGGTCCATTAGAATATGTTATTTCCCATCGAGGTGTTGTTCACACAAGCAGATCAACAGAAATTCCACAGCTAGAAAGGACATTTCATTATAATTAAATC